CGTTGGGCCATTCCTGGATCAACAGTCATCAATTAAAGATGGCTCGAGGTCTAGGGGTGTTTGTTAGCGGCCGGCCAGGTTCTGGCTGTCTGTAAGACAGCGGGAGCATGGGGGCCGGGGGCTCGCCCAATGGCGATCTTTTGGGGTATTTTGATACCCCTGGTTTCCTGTTTCCGCACTACAGCAGGCCCCCCCCAACAGTTTTTAAGAATTTGAATTTTGGTTGAATTAATTAAATAAAGTGTGGCCCGTTTAAATCCAAGCTGTTGTCTCACGTATTTATTCCGGGGCTGGGGGGGCAATGGCTGGAGCAACATTTGCAGTAATGTTCACATTGCAGACAGCAATAGTTTTTTTTTCTGCTCCATGATGGCATAAGCTCTAAGTAACTGTCACATTATTTTTCACTACTTGTTATTATTCCTCCAGCCTGTACTCATGCTAGGCAGATGATGGAATGTCATGTTATTCCCTGTATGCAATACACCTTAAAGTGCACCAACTGCATGTTAAGGGAATACAGAATGAATTCCTTTTCATTTAAATGTGGAACAGAAAAACCCCTCCAAGGGAATTTTCAAACAACTCTGAAACCTCCCATAGGCTCTTCATTAGGAAAGCTGGTTTCCAAATTAGGTCAATGTACTTTTAAGTTTGCTGCCTGGCAGCTTGTTCTACCCTTCAGTGCCTTGCAATTACATGTGCAAAAGTAATAATTCATTTAAGTGTCAGAATAACATATGCTTTGTGATTTCCACAGTTGAACATAAATGAATATGGATGTACGTTTCCCACTGATATTCAACAGAATTAATATAAGAATTGCTATTCAGAGAAAAATGACAAAAGTATTTCTTTGTGTTACGTTTAATAATATATATACCGGTACATATAAGCATATACACATACATATATGTTTAGGCAAAGTATCTTATTACTTTATGTACTGCAGATGTTCCTACAACAATGCTGTCAAGTTCCGCTAATTAGAATACAAACGAGGGGTGTGTGCAACCTGTAATGCTCCACTGTTTCTGCAGACAAAAATATAATGAAATATAATGTCTTTCTTCCATTGGAAAGTAATGAAGAGCAAAACTAATTTGCTGGACCAAAAATTAGTTAGAGACGTCATATTTGATTGCTACCTATTACTGTACTGTGAAAGTTTACGGCTGTTTCTTCTATCATCACACCAATGTTGGACTCAATGCATAAGTTAAGTGAAATAACAGAAGCTGAAGAGGAAACAATATATGAGGTTCTCTCTTTCAGCTCCAAGGTACTTTTAGTCTATTCTACTTCAACTGCTGCTTCTGAAATGTCACTTCTCTTCTCATATAGCTCCTTTTGCAGATAGTTTTCTAAATACATCTATTTAAATTTTGTAAAAAAATATGTGAAGTTCAGACATTAAACCCTGTTCTTCAGTTCCAGCAAAATTCTCCTATGCTGTTTTTCAGAATGCATGGACTAGTTCTTATCAAAAGCAGCTTTTATTTGTGGTAAGCATGTCCACAGCAAAGTTACATACAGCTGAATGCAGTTGCATTGCATATTTCAACACCCACACACCCCAAGTATGCTTGAGAAGCTTCTCAGAAGAGTAAGGTTCTAGGTTTGCCTCAGGCCATGCAATTAATTCAGCATGGAAACAACTAATAAGAAACAATCATTTCAAAGCAAAGAAACAGCAACATAAGATTTTCCATGTGTTTAGTTCCAAGACTTCTTGTGCTTCTTGGCATAAGAGGAAATAGTCCATCTGTTTAGAATAGTTGATGAACATTAAACTCCAAAAGCTCAGAAAACAAACTCTTAACATGGCTTTGGGCATCAGCAGGATAGATGAGAAAACATTACAGCAACCTAATCTGTGGAAAGGAATATCTGAAATTACTTTTGAAGTAATAAGGTTTCAATTCTTTAATACAGTAATTTTTCATACAAGTAAGAACGATTTTGTCTTCTGGGAATATTTCTAAACAGAAAGAGCAATTCAGTATAGCTGCATCTTGAGCTGCAGTTTGTGAAGGCTGTTACAACATGCCAGTGACAAAGAAATGCAACACATATATTCACTTACCAATTATTATGGGTTGTGGTTCACTTTTCACTCCAACACCAGCATTAGTACTTGCTGCAACTTCTACCCTGTACTGAATACCTGGATAGAGTCCTCCAATCACCACAGACCGAATGGCTGCATCTACAGTCTTGTTGATATGAAATTTTGTTTCATTCCCCAAGCACCAAATCTGAGATACAGAAAGATAAGGATGGAGAAATAGCTTCTTACAAAGGTATGAGAAAGAATGCAGTGTGCTAGCCACCTTTGAGGAAGAAGTAAATGTGTGTCTTTCTGTTTACTAACTAATTACATGTATGGAGCAGCATACATGGCTATCTTAACTAAAAATTAGTGGCTTAAAAAAAGATAAGAGATACACAAAGAACAATAAAAGAGTCTTGCAGGCACAAAAAGAATAGGTGGAGGACCTGGTTCACACTGTTCAAGAAATGGAGAGGAAATAAATAAACATTTCAAATAGAATACTAAGGAAAACATGTTCTATTTTTTAAAAAAATCTTTCCATACACTTTCCATTTGGCAATGGAAAATGGAGCAGGGTTGTTTTCTATGGCAGAAAGTGACTGGCCCAGTGAGTATCATAAGTCCCAATATAACTACAGTACTCAAAGAAATTAAAACACAGTGTTTTCTTGCAACAAAGAAGGTTGGATGGCAGAGTTGTTGGTTTGGATGGCATATACTGACTTAATGGAGCATCTTTCACTAAATAGTACCCATTATTCATCAGATGTAGCATTTTCGTATGGTGCAATACAACTGGGGTCAACCTCCTGCCAATATTTGGCAAGTGTTGCACAATCTCAGTGTGTTTCATTTTTCAATCCATCGTAATGGGTCATTTCAAGGTCTAACTTTGTGTCTTATAATTATTCATGAGTTTTTAAAAGAGAAAATGAATTTTTTAAAAAGTTACATTTTTTTAAGTTTTAAAATGATATTCAATTAGTGTAATAGCCCAGAATGCATTAATTAGCACCCTAGGGTCTTCAAGAAATCATGTATTCATCTGTGAAATTACAGTACCAAAGAAAGGTGATAATGTCAAATGTTGTAAGCACTGATACACACTATGTCTGTTCAGAGTGATCCTGTTTCTGATGAAAACAATCAGCAAAATATCCAAATAAGGTTCCATATTTGTACACTGGAGGCAGTGAAAAAGGCTATGTGACTTAAAAAGATTGATGGAGCAGGAAGTTTGCTGACTTCTTAAAGAGTGTCTTCCTCTCTCGCCACAACAGGAGAAAAGTACAAGTCAAGGGTATCAGCCACCTCATAAAAAGATCCACACCTTAGTGTTGTGAGGGGTTTCAGTGTCTCAAGAGAGCAGTGTCATCAAATGGCTAGATTCTACAACATGTTCTCACCTAAAGGAAATGGTGAAAGCTGACTCAGGATTAATGGTCACATGAGTAGAAGAGATAGTTCCAGTGGTCAGGGGGGCTGAGAAACTCCTGAAGGGCAGCTACTGAGCAGGAGCAGTACTAGAAGGTGACACTGCTGCAGGATCTTTCACAGACAATGGCAGTGACAGTTAAGCTTACTTTTGTTAACAACAGATAAGAAACACAAGTAAAAGGTGACAGAAACAGGTTCAGAATGCCAAATATAATTGTTTTTGTTTGCTAATCAACACTCATAGATTCAGAGATAATGAAGTGATAGTCATTAAATAGGTTAAGTCATGTACGCCTGTTCAGGTACTACTTATTAAGTTCTATTCATCATACCAGGAGGGGAGTACTCTTTGTCCCCTTCTTGCACTGAGAGTGACAAATCTGATGAGGAGAGGCTCCTGTCTGCATGAATCGTTCTAGACTTCATGCTTGCATGAAACACTTGCACAAAGAGAATCTATCCTCTTCAATTTCCCACCTCCTGTGTGAAGAAAGCAATGACAAAGCTGGAACAACTAGGTACCTCAAACCTAAATACTTGGCTTGTGAGTGAAAGGTGCATATGTGCACGCACTTGTGTCTGTGTTTGTGTCTCTGTGTGTTTCACCAGTCTTCCTGCCCAGTTCAGCTACCTAAAAATTTGTTTTGGTGGGTTGGGGAAACCTTTGGGACAATGTGTAGGCTGCTGCTGGGAGCTGATGCTGAATTGGTGAAAACTCCTGGACCTTTCCTCTGTGCCAGGAGGAAGACTCAATTTCTAGATTATCAGCTCCAAATCCATCCCATTCTCTTAGAGTTCAGAATCTTAGGGAATACTAATAAATATGAAGAAATGACAGCATTAGCCACCATGGCCTGAGAAACAGGCTGTTTGGATGCACAATGTAACACAAGGAGGGTGAGTTCTAAAGTTCTACTTTGATAACTCTGTGGACATAGAATCATTTAATACTTGTTAACTTTATCATTCTGTCTGCAAGCTCAATATTTTGTTTACAACAGTGGCTCACCCTATCTCAGCCATAAGCAAAGCAATCTTAACATGAAACAAAAGGAAACAATTGTTTTGGTTATGCTTTTTCCAGAGAATTTACCATTTGCCTCCATTTTCTAGGTACTAAATCCCAGGATAGAGGAAGGTAGAAGGAAAGCAGCTCTCAGTCTGTTTTTTTTTTTTATTTTTTTTTTTGCTTTCAATGCAAAACTATTAAGAAGCTGCAACTGATGCAGTTGTTTTGAATTGCAAACTTGTTTCCTCTCTACCTAGAGGGAATTGCTTCTTTTTATAACAGCAATATGGGGGTGGGACTTCCTTGAAAACATGCATTCTTACTCCTTTCCACTGAATCTTTCAGTAAAAAATCATGTTAGACTCTTAATCTTAAATTTGATGGTGCATATTTTTTTTGATCCTTGATAAATTTTGCTTTTGAATTACACTGTTACTGTAAGTTAACCACACCAGGAACACCTTCAAAAAATCACCATGAAAGCACAATATTATCTCCACTTGATCACTACTGTGCCACTATTGCATATATAGTTAGTTATATGCTGTACACACTAAGTCTAATTTGTAGTTTGACTTTGAGTTTAGCCTGGGAATAAATAAGGCACTTGAAATGCACTTTCTATGCTGACTAATCTGGTCTTCTCAGTTGTTAGGTCTTAAACAGCATCTTTAAGGAAAAGATAATTGTAGAGTATGTTCAAAATTATTATTAATATTAACAAGTCTTGGACATGCAAGACTACATTTTTAGATGCTTCTGCCCTGCTTTATTTCATGTCTACCTTGTATTCTTGAATTATTCCATTTTGGTGGTCTGGTGGTGGAGGATCCCATGAAATGCTGATGCTGGTGCTATTGTGGTTTCCAACCATCAAGACTGTAACAGATTGTGGAGGGGCACTTGGAGCTGTAGTAGGCAAAGGTAAAAGAATTGAATTAATGAGATTTTATTTCATATTGGGAAAGGAGGTCACATTTAATCATAAGTTAACACTTGACACCAAGCTAAATGTGTATAGTTGTTCAACAGATATCAGATCACAGATTATGCTCTGTTTTCTTGCCACTAATTCTCAGTGTTCGACTACCACTTTGTTGTATGGGAAGAGTGCTCTAAAGGCAATTTGTATTATTCTTTATGATAGCTTCCTGTATTTGAAAGCTGAGGCCTATGTCAAATCAGAGCCCTAACAAAGGTTTTAAAATCTATTTTACTGTTCTACATTCTTACTTAAATTATGCCTAGACTCAAGTGTTTTTTGTTTCTAATTCAAAAGGGTAGTCCTAGACACACACACCAGTTTTTATTTTGTGTTTGTTATTGAAATAATGTTCTTCAGTATCCTTAAAAATTTTGGCCTACGTCCAATTTCTAGTGCCAACTAGAGTTCATCCTCCAACTGTAAGCCTGTTAACAGAAGCATTTCATATGCTTTACCCATCTTCTCCATTCTATAGTATTTAGAAACACTGATGATGATTTTAAAAGACTGTAAAGGAAAAAAATTAATCCAGTTATTTTGCACATAATATCACTTTTACCATCACTTTATTTTGCTTCCATATCCAGTTGTAACATGAAAGAGGCAAGAGAAGACACAGAGTATTGCAATTAATAAGTAAGCTGATTTGCATGGCTAAAGGGTTCATGGCCATGGACAGCAAGAAGAGTAAGAAACAGGGATTCTTCCCAGTTCAGAGCTAAGACACAATCACATATATAAAACAAGGAATGATCAGCAGGTTTGAAGAACCTTGCAGAAGCTCAAAAATATTTTTTTATTTTTTAAAAAAAACTTAAAAATACTACTCAGGACTGAATACGATCAGTGGTCACAGAATAATGCCTTACTGGTATTGGGTTTGGGCTGGATGAAAACTCAGGTGGGAGAGGCAGTGGTATAAAGTATCCAGAAATAGGCTGGAACACTGGATATGAACATTCCGCAGGGCAATATTTTGTTGCAAATTTCCCAGACAGATATGGATTCTACCATTGCAGCATGGCTGGCTATAATCTCATCAACATTTTTCCATCCGCAGCCCACTTTGGAAGATTTACAAGAACTCCTCGTTCCAACAGACTGTGCCATTTCTGTGCATCCGAACCCAATTCCCTGGACCACATCTTACTTCGGTGTCCAACTCACAATATCCCTCGCAAGCGTCTGCTAGGCCCACTTCTCTCCTCCCTTTCCCCTTTTTTTCCTGACCCTTCCCCCATACTTCTGAGCGATTTCTCGACTTCTATTACCAGTCAAGTAGCTGAGTTCCTCCTCACTGTTATGAAGACGTCCCCCCACCCCAAACCCTCATAAATTTTCCTGAACCTAACCTATTACAACCCCTTGCCTGCCCCTCCCTTTACCTGGAACTGGAATGTAACTGTGCTATGTACTCCCTTGTATCATATAATGCCAATAAAGGTTTCTAAGAATGAAAAAAAAAATCTCATCAATTATCCTTAGCCCTCCACTTATGATTTTCAAGAAAGGCTTTGTCTCTTCCCCACTCTACTCACTGATATGTTTAGGATGGACAAGAGAGAGGGTCTTCTTGGTGACTGCTCCAACACTATGGAACTCTCTTAAGAGCAGACTAGACTGGACCTTTTTCTGCTGTCCTTCCAGGAACGGGGAAACAATTTTATTTAAACACATTTTGATCACAGATCAGGACCTTTTAATGTAGATGTTTTGCTGTTTTTCTTAAGCAGTCTATGATCCTATATCAGTTTTAACCTTAATTTAATCAATATTGTTTCAATATTGTAATTTCTTCTTCTTTTAGATGCATTTTAAAATATTTTAGAAATGAATAAAAATGTTTAAGTCCCCATGGGTTCTAAAAGGCGGTAAAGTAGGGCATACAGTAAATACATAAATCTACTCAGGACATGCCTGTTGGCTTTGCTGCATCATGCAATCAAAAATGGTAAAAATGTTATATGGACATATTGAATATGGCACGTGAGCATTCAAAATACAAAGGTATCTCATCCTCCAGACATGTTGTTCACCACTGACAATTATAGCTTAAAATGTGACAGTGGGATTGGAAGTATTATTAATCTATGTGACTTATCTGCTTGCCTTTATGCATACACAGTCATGAATATTTCCTTGCAATATATAATATTTTCCATCTTCATTTTTACAATAATACCGCTGTAAATGCTGTTTCATAACAAATGAAACCACTTCCCTGACATTGTTGCAGTTATTAAAAGGACCACACAGAAAAATAATGTTTTTAAACTGGTTTTTCTTTCATTTCCCTTGCTGCTGACTTGTGGAGAACACCATCCCTGATTCTTGACAGGTCAATTATTCCAGTGCTCAGCTCCTTCCCACAGATATTAAAGCACCCAAATCACTGCTCATCTTTTCCAGGCACAACCAAACAGAATTCCATTTGTTACTTTCACAAGGCCAAAGAGGCAAGAGATGAATGGATACTGAATTGTGACAAATTTCTGGTCTTCAGGATAAAGGGGAGGGGGGGAAGTGATAACATCTTTTTTTTTCAGTAAGGCCCAAGAAGAAATGTACATTCATTGAAAAATGAGATACAGAATTATTTACCTAACCAATATAATAGAAGTACAATAGCCCCAAAGTTTTGTCTAAGCACCCCCCAGTGAAAATGATATTTCCCAAAGCAGCAGAATGCATCAAACCATGAAATGTGACACTTTTCAAAAGATTGCCCTTTTTCTCTGAGAAGTGAACCATATTCATTAAAACAAAAATCTACTTGGGATTAATTCTGAAAAAGCATAAACTCAAGATAATTATAAGGATAATTAAAGAACCAAAGAAAATGGCCATGGAATGACACTTTGTGATTACGATATTTTTCCATGTAAGGCTATAAATAGTCTGCTACAGAAGCAGATAGTTTGTGAGCCTAAACACACACACACACACACAAACACCCTACCAGAATCTGACATTTAACTGTTGACAGTACAATTTGTTATAGTCATTTATTGTACTGAAGGAGACACCAAAAGGCAGAGTGGATGAAGGTTGCATTAATCTACACAACAGCTTACTGGCTGCAGGCTTTAACATATCTATAGGCAGGGACATTCTTTAAAAGGTTTGCTTACAAGCAAGTAGGCTTTATCATATGAGACTTCTTGATATATGCTACTTGGAGCTTTACCCTATAGCATAATAACAGCTGCGATATCTAGAGGAACAGTGCTATCTACCTTTGGCATTAAGATGCCTTCAAGATCATTCTTGTTGTTAGTTCCCCAAGATGTGTTGCCCAGGGAAAATCATATTTGAACTTGTTCCGTCGAAGTGTTACAATTAATTGCCTTTAAAAGATTTACTCCACAGCTGAAATGCAGTAGCAGGTCACAATCAGCATAGGCCTGCTGAATCAGTGAAACCTACAGATGGATTGATTCACCAAATCCCCACTGATTCAATGGGCCTACTCGTAACTTATTACTCATGCATGGGCCTAAGTAGTTTCCTTCTAAAATAATCTAAAACATCACCATGGACCATCACCAAATTTGTGGTAGTAATTTTCACAATATGTGTTGTGCAAAAAAAGGATTTTAATATATCCATCCCAAATCTATGGTTTATTAATTTTATTAGATGATGCCATGTTCTAATTGTGTGGGAAGATGCAAATCTCCATATTATTAATTTTTTTATAAAGTTTTATAAAACATGGGCTGAAATCTTCTCGCTCAGTTACATAAATGACATAACTTTTAGACATGAATTGTTGTAAGTTGAGACATCTCCATAGGCATTATCTGTTGCATGCTGAGTTGTGTGACTATGTATGCAACAGTTAATGTTCACTGAAATTTGTTCACGTATGGTAATTTACTTCCAAGAATTATGTGGTTTGTGTAACTGTACAATATGATTTTGGTCATTATTTATGTTTATCCTTCAGCCATCTCTTTTTCTGAACTAATAAGTTCCAAAGCACTTTTGTTTTAGCATTTACTTATATGGACAGGACTTGGCTGGCTTCTTGGTTGCTAGCTTCTTTGTAATCCAACCTCCTGCAGATGTACAACATCTTTTTGAGACTGAGCAACTAGAACTGCATGTGCCATTACAAATTTGTGTGCACAGCTGCTTTGATATTTGCTGTTGAAAACAAATGAACCTGCCTGCCCTGAGCATGCATACTGTCTTCAGGTGCTCCTACCCAGGCAGAAGCAAACACAAAACAGGAAAGGTCAGCCTGGGTCTGATAATAGCTGCTACATGCTCAGTTCCAAAGGTTTCCCCTCTGGCCTCCCATACATATTCTCTCTGGCCTCCCATACATATGCTAATTTCACATGACCCAGTCTTAAGTAGAGTACGACAGAGGCCCAAATTGCAATTTATGGCTCTGTATATGTATACTTGGAGCATTATGGAACACCTGAGCATTTCAAATGATTTTCCAAAAATTGTTGGCCTATTAGTTCTCTTAACCTATTTTACTTACCTTCTTCAGTGGTACGGGCAGATTTTGATTCACTGTCCATCCCTTGAAACTCGTTAAAATAAGGTCGAACTTTAATTTCATAAGTAACTCCTTTTTTAAGGTTGACAAGGACAGCACTGCGTTCTGTGGGAACTTTGACTTCTTGGGTCTGCCACATAGATGGGGAAGATAAACCGGATGTTTGGCGATATATGACTCGATATCCTTGAATAAATTGGGATTGGCGATCAACCTGAAATAAAATTAAGATAAATATTTCCAACACCAGATAAAGGAGGAAGGTTACCTCATCTCCTTTGAGTTGCCATCTACCAAGAATTCAGCTTGGATTTTAAAATAAAATTGTGCTACATTGGCTGTTCTAGTGCCACAGAAAGAGATACAAAGATATTTACAAAAAATAGGTAGCTTTGTTTCTATGAGCAATAAAAATGTAACGAGTATTAGTGCGGTGGTCAAGCAAAATGTCAAATAGTATTATAGAGGTGCCACACCTGGTCTATCTGTGTAATATAGCTGAATGAACAGTAAATTTCAACCACCAAATCAAGACTCAATATGCAGGATTTCTTCACTCTCTGGATAGCTGGCTAAACTCATGAAAAATTTTCCAGAATTACAGTTATATTGGCTTAGGCTATACCTGAGAAACTGCAATGTTAAAGACCTGACATATCTTCTCCATATGAATCACTTTTACCAAACTCTGTCTACACTGTCATTAATGCCATTGATTCCATTGGGAATCAAGTTCTTATGACAAGAAAAAACACACAATAGCTATATAAAAAGAAACTTAAAACTAAATTTATGAGATCAAGGCATAAATGAATTTCATAAAAACCACCATTGCTAAAAATCTTGCAACATATGTTACAACAATGTAACACTTGCATTTTATAAACTTCTCTAGATACACTTTAAGGGGATTTATGCAGTAAAAGAGTGATATAACTCACAATAATAGCTTGTTAATACTGAAGGAATCAAGCTGTGTTTTTAAGAAGAACATTAAGCAGCTGCTTCTAAATAAAGAGAGTGTGTAAATCAGGACAAATTGTTTTTATCCACATTTGAGTTTCATTAATTAAATGTTTTATGGACATTGAGACTTTATGAACCTAGTGTTTACAACAAAACACACTTCCAATTCCTGTGAATACTTTGACGTATATAGCCACAACCTATTCCATTTATGAGGTATATTATACACTAACAATGTATATGGTATATTAACATCTTTATATATTAATATGGGTTCAACTAATGAATTACTTGATTCACTGGAGCCTTCTTGTTTATGACATCTGGGGCAAGGCAGTGACATATTTGTACCGCACTATCTCTCCTCTTGCAGAGGAAAAAGTGCCCGGGTCCCTCACATAGCAGCAAACACATGGCATAAACTGCCTTCTGTTTTCTGTAGTAGCTTAATTTTCAGAAGCAAGGCCTGAAGTGATGAACTGGTTCATCTTTATATATATTATACCAAAGGCACATTCACAAGAGACAAGAGCCAGATTATGCATTCTGTATGAACTGAAATAGCTGCTTGTTTAGCCAAACTGTGGCTAAACAAGCAGTTCAAACTGTGTAATGTCTGCATCATAGCAGTGTATTCCAATCCTTTTCTCACACTCAGATTGCAGAAAACTGCACAGTCCAATATCCACTCTAACTGAAGAAGACTGAAAGAAAGTCATTTCTCTTCCAATACCCTCCTGGATTTCCCACACAGTTATCTTCCTTTCATCCTATTTCTACCCGCTTACTTTCATCTGCTTTGGTTTCAACATCTCTGTTGTTCTTTCAGCATTATTATTAAATCCAAGCCTTATTCCATTCTTTTTTTCACATTTCCAAATTATGATGTTTAGCCTTTACCATTTTCTTTTCCTTTTCCTTCAAGGACCTACAAATTACATTACATCTCTGTGAAGCAACAAGAATGTAGTAGAAAAGTGAGATGTGGAGTGCCTCTCTCCTTCTACCAAACGAGTGACTTTATATACTTAATAGAGAAAGAAAAACTATTAAGAATACAAATTACAGCCTGCATCTCCTGCAGATGTCTTAAATATTTCCCACAATTCTCTACCAAGCCCCAGAATAATTCAAAAAGCATCTGTTCTCAAAATACAGGTTTAAAGGGATGCAAGGTACAGTTTTTCTCTTTGTGAAACAAATGCACTCCATATTTTAACTCCTTCCCTACAGCAACTCGGGTTTACAATCTAGACTTTTATGTGTTGCTTTAATCAGCATCCAAAGGAAAAAGCAATGGAAGCTAGTTATCCCTCTCCTCACTGTGGAAAGAGGAAGTGAGACTGAAAACCAATCATAAGGGCAGCTTGGGAATGGAGAAAGGTAAAGGAAACAGCAAGTGAAGGCAGATACAAACTTGTCTTTTCCAATAGAGACACAAATTTCAATTTAGCCTTCTGGTGAAATTATAAACTCGCCAACTTGCCTTTAAAAATATTCATGTGTTTCTAGAGGGAAATATCTTTAGGAAGCAAATTTAATTTCCAAATTATATTGAGGATCTTAAGAATTAATTATCAGCAGCTTATTTATTAAGGCCACAATAAGGCTAACTGAAATTTATAATGCTGAAATCATTAAATGTTGAATTTCTAAAATCTGTAACTTAATATTACACTAGAGGTGTTTAAATATCTTTTCCTTGTCTCTGTAGCATCATCAAAGTAAAACAGTTTTTTGATTCATTCATTATTTCAAATTATTCAACACTTTTGGTGGGCCTTGTAATCAAATAAACTAATATGTAGCTCTCAGTAATATTATGTATTATCTAAGAGAAGTCATAATTTCTGTGTTACTGAGACAATGGTAGGTCATATGTTATCAATGCGATTTCCTAATTAAGTGAAGCATGGCAGATATGAATGTGTCTGATTTTAATTTTAGCTTATGCAAATACAAGAGAAAAACAAGTCTAGTTTTTTAGTAATTTTTTGTCACATTCATTGTCAAGCCAACTGTATGTTCACCTTTTGATTATGAAAATAATCCTAGTGCTCAGTCTACTGCTCACAGTCCCATGACCTATGCACACCTGAGATTATGGGTTTAAAAAAAGGATAATCTACCCAAGTGATGACATACCACAGCTATTAAGCTGTGAAAGGCTGGACTGGAGGTTTCCCAAGCCAGAATTAGGATTGCAGAAGAAATATCAACAACCTCAGATATACAGATGATACAACTCTGACGGCAGAAAGCGAGGAGGAATTCAAGAACCTCTTAATGAGGGTGAAAGAGGAGAGTGCAAAAAACGGCCTGAAACTCAACATTAAAAAAACTAAGATCATGGCCACAGGTCTCATCACCTCCTGGGAAATAGAAGGGGAAGATATGGAGGCAGTGACAGATTTTGCTTTCTTGGGCTCCATGACCACTGCAGATGGCGACAGTGGCCACAAAATTAAAAGACACCGGCTTCTGGGAAGGAAAGCCATGACAAACCCAGACAGTATCTTAAAAAGCAGAGACATCACCCTGCCGACAAAGGTCTGCATAGTCAAAGCTATACTTTTTCCAGTAGCGATGTATGGAAGCGAGAGCTGGACCATAAAGAAGGCTGACCGCCGAAGAATTGATGCTTTTGAATTGTGGTCCTGGAGGAGACTCTTGAGAGTCCCTGGGACTGCAAGGAGAACAGACCTATACAACTTGCAGGAAATAAACCCTGAGTGCTCACTGGAAGGACAGATCCTGAAGCTGAGGCTCCAATACTTCGACCATCTCATGAGAAGAGAAGACTCCCTGGAAAAGACTCTGGTGTTGGGAAAGTGTGAAGGCAAGAGGAGAAGGGGACAACAGAGGACGAGATGGCTGGACAGTGTCATCGAAGCGACCAACATGAATTTGACCCAGCTCTGGGAGCCAGTGGAAGACAGGAGGGCCTCGGGTGCTCTGGTCCATGGGGTCACAAAGAGTTGGACACAACTTAACTACTAAATAACAAAAGCTTTGTAAAATATGAATACTGGTGTATATAACCATACAATTCTAGTTTGTCCTTCCTTCTTAAGGTATCAATTTTATGCACCTTTTCGTTCCCACTTCATCGACTTTTATACAAAGCTGTAAAATTCAGGGCTTTTTAAAAATTATTTTTTAGGCAGAAAAACTTTTAACCTATCACTGAGAAAAACATTTCCAAGGCTATCTAAAAGGCATAAAGAGAAGAAGAGAAAATGGAAGAGGCAGGTGGATGTGTCCCAGCAGTTGAGATGGCAGAAGTATCACCTGTCACCTGCCAAACTGAATTCCAAACTGCAAAAAGGTTGAAACAAAATGTCAGTGCTCATCTGGCATTTGTCAGCTACTTTGCACTGAATCTTTCTGTTAAATTAATAATCCTGGCTTCATTCTCAGGACAATATGGATGTTATTCTGGATACTCTCGTTAATTAATTGGTTTTGTCCTGGGTACTGGAAACTTTTTAATTAGCTGCTCTGGTTTTCTCCTCTTTTTGTCTTTCTTCCTTGAAGCAATTTTCACATGTCTCTAGTGGGTACTGTGTACTGCTTGTTGGTAGTGGGTCACTGCTTTTCTCCTCTAGCATGTAAATTGGAATTAGTAATCATAATAATTGTTATTTTGCTGTGCAGAAAAATCTTTCCTCTTTTCCTTTGAGAAAAAAAGAACACTGACAAAAAATTGAAAATTTATTCAGTTCACTTTAGGTTGGTTCTCCCTATTACACATAACCTTTCATGGGCCAAAATTCTTTCCTCAACCATATCAGTGCTTTCAGTATCAGTTTTGCAATGGTCTATGAGAAAGTGGTCTCTACAAATCATCCTTCAAACCTGCCTGAACTACTGATAGGTCTGGACTCTGCTGAATTACTGAAATATAAGCTCCCTTCTATTTAAGGGATAAGGGACATGGTGGCACTGTGGGTTAAACCGCAGAAGCCTCTATGCTGCAAGGTCAGAAGACCAGCATTGATAAGATCGAATCCACGCAATGGAGTGAGCTCCCATCACTTGTCCCAGCTCCTGCCAACCTAGCAGTTACAAAGAATGTAAATGTGAGTAGATAAATAGGTACCACCTCTGTGGGAAGGTAACAGTGTTCCATGTCTAGTCGCGCTGGCCACATAACCACGGAAACTGTCTATGGACAAACGCTGGCTCTAAGGCTTGGAAACGGGGATGAGAACCGTGCCCTAGAGCTGGACACGACTGGACTAAATGTCAAGGGTAACCTTTACCTTTACCTATTTAAGGGAGAACCACCCCATGTCAATGCTGTAAGGGCAACTGAGGAAACACTACCCAGTGTCCTCTGCTGTGATTGTTATTGCACTTCTCTTAATTTTGGCAGGCTAATCACAGGACATTCAACCAAACTACTAGGGAAATCTAGTTTTAAGGATCTTTGTGAGGTATTAATGTATGTTTGGCTGTGAATCCAAAACTGTGTGGAGAGAGCCATGACCATATGACACACCGTTACATAATTATGTACATTTCAGTGTATAAATATTCATACATAAACTCTGTGGCTTAAATAAATCTATGAACATTCAGTATTCATTGTTTCTATCTCTAATGCAGAGCTCATCTTATAAAGATCTCCTCCTTTTGGAATTCTGTGCAGCCTTGGTGAATCGTTCACAGTTCCCATCTTCCATTATTTCCCTTCTTCTCTTTCTTGTAAGGAAACTGCCTGAAGGGCAAAACTACTCATTTACCTAAAAAATGTCTGCTTTTATGGTTACAGATTCTTTCCCGGAAATAAAAGGCAGAGAAATGTTGCATTTTGAAGCTCTGTCTTCAAAATCTACTCACTTCACTGTTTTTAGAGGAATGTTATGGGTAACAGCATCAACACGATAGCTAATTTGTCATCACTGATGCTCACACTAAAGAATCAAATATCATTCTTTATCTTAGGTATAAATAATCAGGGAATGATCTCTAGGACAATGTAAAGTTATTAGAAAAAATAAAAGTTATTAGGAAACTGAGCCTGGATGGAAGATGAACCACTGCATTGACTCAGATAAGGAGAAGTGTTAAAATATTATCAATATCATTTGGTTGGCTACTCATAAAGAATTTTTTTTCAAGTTACGCTCATATATACTTCAAGCTATACCCTTAGACACAATTTGGTAAATATCAGTATTGAAAAAAATCAAACATATTGGCCTAAATCAATTGTTATTCCCAAGTAGACACAGAATTATTAGCATTTACATAAGTGTCAATCTACTGTAGTCCTGCTGATTCAATGTGTTTACTCTAACTGGAATTACCAACTGGATGAACCCACAATATTCTGTGCTATGGTACTTGCTACAAATTCTGTTTACCTTTTAAGGAATGACATACAAGTACTTTGATTTTTCTCTCTCTATACATGAACAATACAGTGTATAACAAAAAATATATAGGGAAGACCTTGTATGTTTTGTACTGTCTATTTGCAACAGCTAAAAACAATTAAAAATGGAAAGGAGATAAGCTTAGAGATTCCACTGTATATTTCGCTCCACAAGCTTACCGTCCATGTCACTTGAATTGTAGTAGGAGTCAGCACAACAGGATTATGTAGCCGCACAATGACATCTCCAAGCTCTTTTTGGACTTGCCTGTGATCAACACCTTGTGCGGGTGGGCTGATATCTGCCAAGGAAGCACATCAGTATATAGTCACATACATGTATTATCTCAAAGAGGAAAGTTACTCAGAAGTATCAGTTCATTATAATGGTCAAAATCCTGTTGCTTAGTTGTTCTTATGGAACACAAAAAGCATAACTCCCAGCATGTTCTTACAGTAAATTAATGAGACTTGCTTGTATCTTCTGACTTGAAGGACACCAATAGGCATGCATGTACCTGATATTCCATGTGGAGATTCATTCATTTCCTATGAGAATGCTCTGGAAGTCATGTCGTTTGTCTTGTGCAGGCACAACAGAACAAGAGTATTTTGCTAAATGACTGAAAAGCTTAATAATCTTGATAAAACAATTTCAATAAGGATATTTGTTTTTTAAAACAAATAGATTAAATTAAATGGTGGACTTTACAGAATATGAATAAACACTGTTGATTTTTAAATTACACAAGGTTTTTCATTATATATGAAACCTATTTTAATAGCTTTTAGAGACACATTTTTGCATTTAGTAAGAATGATACCCCTTCATGGATTGCTGCCTTGTCGTGACGAAGGGGCTTGAGTAATTCAGAGAAGCAATGGGCTATGCCGTGCACCCAAGACAGACAAGTCATACTGGATAGTTCTGACTAAACACGATCCACCTGGAGCAGGAACTGCCAAGCCACTCCAGTATCTTTGCCAAGAAAACTTCATGGACAGAAACAAAAGGCTAAAATAGAAGACACTGAAACATTAGCCCCTCAGGTTGGAAGGCCTCCAACATGCTACTGAGGAAGAGTGGAGGAGAAGTATAAGTAGCTCCAGAGCTAACGAAGTGGTTGGGCCAAAGTCGAAAGAATGCTCAGCTGTGCGTTGGGCCAAAGTCAAAAGAATGCTCAGCTATGCATTCGCCTGGAAGTGAAAGGAAAGTCTGATGCTGCAAAGAAAAATACTGCATAGGAACCCGGAATGTAAGATCTATGAACCTTGGTAAGCTGGATGTGATCAAACAGGAGATGGGAAGAATAAACATTGACATCCTGGGCGTCAGTGAACTAAAATGGACAGGAATGGGCGAATTCAATTCAGATGATTATCATATGTATCTACTACTGTGGGCAAGAATCAACAAAAGAGTGGGGAAAGCTGTACTGGAATACAATCTCAAAAATGAGAGAATGATTTCAATACAAATCCAAGGCAGACCTTTCAACATCACAGTCATCCAAGTTTATGCACCAACCACTGATGCTGAAGAGGCTGAAATTGACCACTTCTATGAAGACTTACAACACCTTCTAGAACTGACATCAAAGAAAGATGTTCTTGTCATTCTAGTGGACCGGAATGCTAAAGTAGGGAGTCAAGAGATGAAAGGAACAATAGGTAAGTTTGGCCTTGGAGTTCAAAATGAAGCATGGCAAAGGTTAATAGAGTTTTGTCAATAGAACAAGCTGATCATCA